CTGCCTTTGCTATTCTAGGTCTCTTTGGGTTCCAGCTCCACGTTTTGATGGAGCCTCCACTGTGCTTTTTTTAATGGATGGGTTGCTATTTACTGACACGTTCAAGATATTTGGTTTTCCTCATCCATTTTCTCGATGAAGCCTCAGATGCTGCTGTGTTGAAGAACAGGCCTCTTAAGCCAGCTATTTGCTTGTCCTTTCCTACAAATAGCTCCTTTAAAATAAAATTCCATCACAGGTCTCTTTACCCATAAGGACACTTGGGTATTAGTTCTTTGGGAGAGAGAGGGATCTAAAAGCTCCCTTGTCTCAGCAGCCTAGGAAATGAAGACTATGTGGCCAGAGGGAAAAGAAATACAAGAGCTCTTGCCAGTAGAATCCTATAGACTCACCTGAGCTCCGTGGGCATAGTGAAAAGATTGTGAGCATTAGAAGTATACAGATCAGTTTCAAGTCCCAGTGTGTGACCTAGAGCAAGTTATACCTTATGAACTTGAGTATTATTAATATTATAGTATTATTGTTTCTAAGACACTAATGACAAGCATTTAAAAAAAAAACAAACTAAATTCTCTGAGCCAAACTAACTCTGATTGGCATGTCCAAGGACATTCCTGCAGGGCTGGGGATTTAGCTCAGCGGCAAAAGCGCCTGCCTGGCAAGCGCAAGGTCGTGAGTTCGGTTCCTGGTACCGGAGAAAAACCAAAAAACAAAAACAAGGACATTCCTGCTTTGAAGGATCTGTCTGAAGGACCAGCAGTTGTCCATAAAGGCAGCATAGTATACCAGGAAAATATTTTCATCTCACCAGCCATCTCTGCTTAACACTGCCCTCAAAAGGATTCTAAGGTCACCTCTGGACTCATGGGAAAGAAAGCCCTGACAATGGATGCAACAGTGGAGTCTAGCACCATGCATGTCATCCCTGATGTTGACTGAGAGCGCTGAACTTAAAAGTCAGTTCTTGGAGGAAAGAACATGTCCTCACTCTTGGTTTAGTTCAAAAAAAAAAAAAACCACAGTTGCAGATCCCTTCAAACATGTATTTCTTACAACACAAGGAACCAGGCTGTGGATAGGATTGAGCTTTATCCTCCTTTGTTCTAATTCGAAGAATAAGAAAGCAGAGACTGGGGTATGCTCTGCTTATCCAGAAAACAGACCAGACTAACCAAATCAAGTCATGTTGAAAGTTTCTGCTCAGAC